TGTCATAGTATTGAATTCACTACGTTGAGCACAGTGTACAGTAGGCAAGTTAAATGAATGAGACTGGAGCGCTTGTTGGCAGTGAAGGAGGCAACTCTAAAATGTTGTGCGATTGTGTTGGATGGGCTGTCCCCCAACTTCATCAACCACTTCTATTGTGCATTCTCTTCAATACACTTGAGCTTATTTGCAAATTATGCCTTTGAAAATACATAAGGTGGACATTGTGTGTTGATATGTTGAAGACATGAGAAGTGGTTGTTCATCATATATCGGACAGTTATGCACTTGATGTGAAATTTTAAAGGATTTGGAATGAACATAGGAATAGCAATTCAGTTAATGAGCTATTGTTTGATCACTGTGGTAGCCATGATTTTCGTTCTCAGCTGATTGTTGAGAAATAGGCGCCACAATAACTATGCCACACAGTGTTTTCTTATTCTCTCGGAGAGGTAAACATAATAATCACTTCTCACAGGCACTCATTCAGCACCATAGCTAAGCTTGTGTATAAGCCTGCACTTCCTATTAAGATGAATGTAGCAAGAGACATCAAATCGTGATAAATGGATTAAATAGGTATACTAGGCCTCTAAATTGTTCATTTTGATCTCTGCACAATATATATTCATATATTTTTTTCTCATGCTTTATATGCAGCACCAGGCTGAAAGATGATACTGTATGTACTCATCCCCAATTAAAACAGAGACAGATCAATGAGGCACTGTTCAGCTTAGGCCAAGTTAGTACATAAAACTGTTTATAGTTATAAGTTAGGCAATAAAAACAAGCCATACAAGATATTTTTTAATAAAAAGAAGCTGCAATCTATTGCTTATATGAGCCTGCTGTTTTAACATAAGGTATTAAAACTTTTTTGTCTACTGCTGGTCTCAAAAGCTTAGATTTTACATGTCTGTATATGGTCTCACTACACGACTTGTTACTCTCAGCCTCAGACACTGTGTGTTTTACAATGAAATGGTTTAAGTCCTAAGCCTTAAATAGGAAAAAGACAGCAGTGAAGAATCCATTCATTTTAATGGACCTGTTGCCGGCCATATTATTGCCTATAACAAATCATGGCTTTTAAAGCCCTTCATTTTAAATGTAGGCTAATTGTAAACTGTATTTATCTTGATTAACAACTAATACATTTTTAATACTAACATCCTCTATTTCATAATTTAATAGCCTACAGATTACCATACAGAATATATAATATAAACTTCTCACAAAAGGTTTTTCCTTCATTTACTCTTTCATACATATCTGATACAAATTCAACACTATAAAAACACATTTTACTCAGGCTGTTATACAGCTGAGTACTTTAGCTAATAATTACTAATTCATTTATTAAAATCTGTGAAGCAGTGTCAAGAGGTCATAGCCTATACTGTAGTTGTATTTGTTTGTCTGAACTAGTAACTAGAAACTAGTTACTAGTTACATGAATTTGATGACCCTGCAACCTTGCTCTAGTGCAGGGGTGCCCAAAGTGGGGCCCGCGGGGACATTTCTTGGCCCCCCACAATTTATTATGCCACCCCAGTTGTCAGGTCAAGCAGCTCCCAGCTCAGCTCGCAACCCACCAATAAAACAAGGAGAAGAAAAAGAAGAAGAAGAACAACAACAACAACAACAACACGAAGAACGGAGCAGTAGCAAGCAACATGGAGAGCAGTAGACAGTGGCACACAGACAAAAGGCATTTTAAACGAACCTGGGAGGAAGAATTTTTTTTTACAGATATTAATTCTAAGGCAGTCTGCTTAATTTGCGGTCAGTCTGTCGCTGTGCTAAAAGAGTACAATATCTGCCAGCACTATGAAAC